GGCCTGGGCTCCTACAGCTCTAATTGAATTTTTTTCTCCTTGGGTAGCATATTTAGCATAAATTATAGTTTGCATGGGGAAAGGCAAGTACTCACACCCATCCACAGCTTGGCATCACCCTGAGCACTGTAGCTTCCTGTATTCTCACTGGCCAGCCTCAGCCAACCTGCAAACACCACTTGCTACCTCTCCAGTTCTAGTAATTTGTTAGCTGGGGCACTGGGAGACCAGTATAGATCCTTTCTGACTGATAGGGATCCAGCCTCTCTTGGAGAAAACCCCCTTGGTGCCCAAAAATTTGCTTCTTTGGTGGGAGACATCTCCCAGCTTCCCTACACATTCAACCACAGCAAGTCAAGAGTGGTTTTAAAACAAAGCTCTTTCATCCTGATAAAGTCCAGGTGTTCATTCAAAACTGCAGTCACCACAGAAATGCCCAGGCAACTGCCTCCTGCCAAGTCCAGAGCTCCTGAGCTACCCAAAGATTTCACAAAACCAGAAAAGTAAATCCACCTAGCTCAAAAAAAAAATGCCTCTTCAAAAGCAAAAATGCATTTAATAACAATCAGCAGAGAATGAACAAAGAAATAATTCACCATTTCTAATTACATGGAAAGGAACAACACAGTTGAATAAACCCATCTCTTCAACCTACACTCAGAGAAGAGACCACCTTCATAAGCAACTTCTGGCACATTGGTGAAAAGGAAAAAATCCATTTTACTCACCACAGCTCAGCTGATTCCTCCAACAGCCTCCCTTGCTCTCATAGTGCAGCTAAAGACTATCAGCACCCACCTGGCACCAATGGATGTTGATGGGCCCCTCTGTGCACAGGTGCTTCCCATCACCTTCCTCATTGGGATACCCCAGGCATCACCTGTGGAGTGGCTGCACCCACCCTGCCCCCCAACCTCCCCCTCTACCAGAATGGGGATGAGAAAACCAAAGACCTAGTCTTGGTATTCCCCTGAATCCCTTAGCATCCAAGAATAGACTGAAAAGTTTGCTTGAGGCTATAGCACTCCTAGCCATCCTTGGTATGGATGGCATTAAGGCCCAGACCAGGGTGGTAAGGAGGTGGGTCTCCCACACAGTAAGCACAGTAAGGAGCTGCTAATATTAACAAGAAAAGAAAAACAACATCGAAGGACTGATCGAGCCCTGCAAGCAGGAAGCAGTCAGAGGACAGTCTGAGCAGAGGCTTCCCAGACATCTATAAAGCTCATTATCAATACATTTGTGATGCTTCTGCTCCTCCAACACAGGTGAAAACACTGGGCATAATGGAACATGATTTTATCATACTGCTGAAACTAGGAAAAACAAATGACGCCACCAAAATATTTTCTACCTCTTAAACATACTATCTGAGAGAAGCTTCACACACAACAAAGCTGTTGTTCATTTGTTGAGGGGTCAATCAGAAAAGGAGCCAGTTTCTGCTGAAGGGTATCACTCTATATAATGCACTTTTATACAACAGTGTATACGCACAAAGCTGAAATATAAGAAGCACCAAGTAAGAGATGAACTACACGTAGTTATTACTGCAATAGACTCACCTTTCTTTTTCACCTGACACTTTACATCTGGGTGGTCAATGATCTCACAAACAGCT